TGACGGGGGTATCCAGTAGGCCCTCGTTAAGCCTCCATTTGCCCCTTCCTCTGACCGGGTATAAACTGGCAAAGGTGGCGGTGACAGGTGCGTGATCTGACCAAGTCCGTAGTCCTATGTCTACTGCGGCTATGTTAGATAGGGTCAGTTTGTCGACTAATATTAAGTCAATGCGTGAGTATGTCGAATGTATCGGGGAGAAGTAGGTATAGTCTCTACCTGTTGGGTACGTGTTGCGCCATGTATCGTATAAGTCTGATTCGAAGATGAGGTCAGACAGTACTTTACAGTTTTTGCGGGCTACAGTCGTCGGGCGTTTGTCTAGGCTACGTTTGATGTCTACCGAGGGGTCCAGACTGCAGTTGAAGTCACCACATAGTATGACATGCCCCTGTTTCATGTTCTCTAGTTTTTTAAGTGCTCTACGTAGAAAGTGTGTTTGGCCAACGTTAGGGGCATACAGCGTTGCTAGGGTTAGGCTAATGCCGTTAAGGGTTCCCAATAATATTAAAAGACGCCCTGCTACGTCTGTGTGGGAACTGCTCATTTGAAATACCCAATCTGCATGGAACAGTATGGAGACCCCTTTGGTTTTGTTGGGGGAGTATGCATGGAAGGCCTGTGGGTAGCGGTTGGTGTGAATTTTAGGGGGTTTTTGAGAGCACAGGTGGGTTTCTTGTAGGCATATCACTGCCGCCTTAGATTTGTGCATGTCCCTGATCGCTAGGCTACGTTTGTGGGGGCTGTTCAGACCTTTAACATTCATGGAGAAAACCTTAAACTCATGTTGGGCCATAGGGACGGGGATCGGTACTCTTTAACATGCGTGTACAGTGGTTGTGCCTCGTTGTCTCGGCAAAACCATGTCCCATCGGAAACCCATCGGTCTTGATGAGGTCCCTGTCTCGGTTGGATATTGAGCATGGAAACTGTTGGTATATTATTGGAGGGGTCTGCGCTCCAACTGTCCAAAGAATCTGTTGAGGCCGAATGTGTATGTCGTGGGATGGGAGCGGTACGGGGGGTAGACGAAATAGGAGACAGGAGGGAGGGAGGTCAGACATCGGGCTAGCCCGAGAAACTGGGGGAAAGCTGAACATATTACCTCTGCTTCCAGCAGAGCATAGATCCGGAATCGTGTGGTGGGGGGCCACACAAACATCCGGCGTGGGGGACATGGGATACTACCACCATGGACTGGCCCTTGGTATTGCTGCAACCTTTCCGAACTTGGGGAGACGCACCAGTTTTGTTTATTGCGTCCAGGCAGCTTAATTCAGGGTGTCGAGTATAGTGGGAGAGGGGTTGAGTGCCCGGCATGCTGGCTAAACCTGCGCCGCGGGGACCTGGATCACTGGCGATGTTACCAACGTGTGCCCTGAAGCCCCGGACTGTCAGGGGTAGCCCGTCCAGCCCACTCACACCCGCAATAATTTGTGTGTCACAAGGTGAGATCGACATAGCAATATATCAAACATAAACATATATCAAAAACATTAGCATGAGGTCAGACGCAGGCGTGATAGCCACATAAGTGATAACAGAGAGCGACCAGGGTCACCAGTCATGCCATAGTAAATCATAGCAGCAATGGTGGGCCAAACTACCAGTGGGCCCAGTGCCCAGAAGGGGCGTGGACGGGTACCTGGGAGTCTCGTACATATACACCCAAGAACTAACATATCTGGTCTTAATAGCCGCTGTTTACAGAGGCGGTATTGGGGGCTAATGGGGTTCGTATGTTCTGAGACGCCACTTCCTACTCTTATATGGAGGTCGAGTGGGGCCGTGGTGTCAAGAGTTACCAGCTAAGCCTCAGAGACTTACAAGCTATGGGTGGGTGGACGGACTTGGGCGAAAGAGCCGGCTCTGGCTAAACACGTGAGCCGAATTTGGCTGGCCGCTCTACTTTATTTTTAATATATATATATATATTTTTTTTTTAAACCATTACTTTGTATACTACCGAATTTTCATGGTGAGAGTGACACACAACATATCATTCAAAAACATATATCAACAGCATTTGCATGAGGTCGGATATAGGAGAGATATCCTCATGGGTGCCATTGGAGCATGACCAAGATTACCAGTCATGCCACCGTAAGCCACGGTATCAGTGGTGGACCAGATTGCCAGTGGAACTAGTGCCCAGGTGGGGCGTAGACGGGTGTCTGGGTGACTCGTAAACATACATCTAATAGCTTACATATCTGGGTTTAATAACCGCTGTCTACAGAGGCGTTGATGGGGTCCAATGGGGTCGTATGCTCTGAGACGGCACTAGACGACCTAGAGACTAACAGGCTATGAGTGGGTACCCGGGCTCGAGCGAGAAGACCGGCTCTGGCCAAACGTATAGACCCAACCAAGCTCTACTTTTTTTTTTTTCTTTTTTTTTTTTTGAAACCATAACTCTATGAACTAACAGCTTATAACTCAGTGCTATGCAATAACAGTCAGATTAGCAGACACAAATGATACTCAAGCGTCCGGCGATGAGGTAAGCTGCAACCCTCGAGATGATCGGGTAGGATCAGTTCCTAGGGAGAGAAGCCACGGGGTCTCCGGCCATCCTCCACTCCGGCCTTATTTTCGAAGGAGAGGTGCGAGCCGGGAAGGCCTGACCTTGTGCGTGATGTAGGCCCCATTCTTTCAACTTCGCCAGGCCTACCTCCGGTTCCAAGATTGGCACAGTTCTTTCGCGATACCACACCAGCAATTTTGTCGGGTAGCCCCAACGGTAAGAGATGTTATTATTCCGGAGTGTTTTCGTCACGTCAACAAATTCCCTTCTCCTTGCCATCGTCGTCGCCGATAGGTCAGCGTAGATTTGGATGTGTTGGCACGGTTCCGGTAGACTGGAAAGCTTCCGTGCTGCGTTGAGAAGTTGCTCCTTCGCTTTGTAGTAATGAAATCGAGCTATGACGTCCCTGGGGGTATCCGCGGTGAAGCGGGCCGGTCTTGGGAGTCGATGAGCGCGGTCGAACTCCCATGCGGTGACCTCGGCTTGCGGGACCAGCGTTTTGCACAGGGCCACAAGATATTGGGGTAACGCTTCATTTGAGATGGAGTCAGCTATGCCCCTGAATCTCAGGTTATTGCGGCGGGAGCGATCTTCTATGTCCGCCAATTTATGTTTGAGAACCGCTTGTTCTTCCTCTAACCTTTGTAGTTTATCGACTACATCATTATGGGCCATGCATAGCTCTTCGGTTTTAGTTTCAAGATGGCTGGTGCGGCCACCTATCTCTGCAATCTCTTTTTTCAAGTCAGTAGTAAGCTGGCGCAGATCCGATCGGAACGAGGACTGCAAGGATTGTAGCATGGTTTGCATACTTTTGTTGGTGACAGGCATATCCTCCACTGCTTGCGGTTCACAATCAGGTTCTGTGTGCCATTCCGGTGACGGCGGGAGCTCCTCGTGGCCGTCGCCATCTTGGATTTGCCGGGGCTTCTCTTTTCTGCCCTGGCGCACCGGATCGGTAAGCTTGGTCTGTTTGGAGGGGGCCATGGTGGCAGGTATAGTGTTCTCCGTTCGTTACCAGGGTCGGAAAGGCTGGGAAATCTGCTCAATTGTCGCTCAGGGCCTGTTAGGATACGGAGCGATCACAACATGCGACTGCTCCCGTCGGTGGTCAGCCACGCCCCCGCCTTATTCCATTTTAAACATGGATTCCTTTGAGTCTGTGTTTGCTGTATACAACAGCTTTGAAACACAACTTAGGAAAAGATGCGAAGCCAGTAAACCACTCATGGACAGCTGTGTCATTGTTAATGCAACTCATCAGCATGAAAAGCAAGTCTTATGGCTTGACTGGTGTGTATATTTTTGTTTAACATTGTATTAAGTAACCACAGACTTCAGGTGGAAGGGGTTTTCAATCACAATTTTTCCCCACCATAACCATTTTTGTTTTTTCTTTCTCTTTATTAAATATTGGAGGAGAAAAACCCTGAAACGCGGTTTGTTTGATAATGCCCTTTTTATAGTGTCATTTAAAAACTTTAATACGAGTCACAGCCTTATTTCAAAAGAAAATAATTGCATAATTGTATTAAATTAATTAATTACACTCACTGTATCCTTAGGTAAGAACTGGGGTGAAGGGAATCCTCACTTTAATAGTATTACACAGAGATATGGTCCTGGGTTAAAAAAAAATCTAATAAACAATGTTCCTTTATCCCCTTGGGCTCATTTTTCATCTCATAGCAGATTTAATTGGAGCAAACGCATCCTCACAACAAGTTATTACCACACACATAGAGGCACAAATATAATTAGATAATATGGCAGAGATAATCATGGAGTATTGAAATAGAGCTTTGTACTTTTTTTGATGTATAGTATGCTCTTACACCAGGCATTTTTTACAATTTAGGACTGACATTCTAGTGCTATTTAATGCTTTGTGTGTAATCAGCAACAAGAAGGACCTTCCAGGATCCCTTCAGAGGTCGTCATGGGACTTCTCATGAGAACCGATGGCACCAAAAATGTTTGTCTCCACAGCAAGAGATTGACATTGGACTACCCTTCTGGCATTCTTGTGGATCCCAGCCTAGCTTCAGACCATGAGCTTCTCTGCTCAGCAGATGCTGAATTTCCAACTCCTCCAGGGTGCACGCACTACATCGCCATGCTTTTTCTTTTGACCCGTCAGTGGTTTTAATGTTGTGACTGGTCAGTGTTTGTTTGCTAAAGCTATCTCTGGCACGATACCTGGTACTTCTTTTTTTTTTTTTTATTCTTTCTTTTTCAGTGCAAAGCATGGTCATTACAGCATTCGTTAAAAGGAACTTATACAATTTGTGTGTTAGCAGGGTCATAGCACATTCTTGCACTATTTTATTTTTTGTAACATGTTTGTGTAGGCCTTGATCGCTATTGTATCGTCTCTCAGTTCTGAGGTGGTTGAGCGTGGTGTGTTCTAGCTGATCTATGGGTGAGAATCGTGTGCTGTGGTTGCTCGTAGAGGATCCTATGGTTTGTTCGTTCAGCCTATGGGCTTGTGGTGTAGCGTGTTATGTAGCCTCTTCGGTACAAGGCGTATAGGCTGTGTTGTGTGAGTCCCGGGGAGGTGTTGGGTATATGAAGTACGCCTTGTTTCGTTTGTAGTGGCTCCTGACCATGGGAGCTGCAGGGGGAGGGGGGGGATTTGTGAGAAGTTTGGCGGTTGCCTCATGTGTGAATGTGGTGGGATGCTGTTGTTCCCCGTTATAGGGGGTATAGCGCTGGTTGTGTCCCCAACCTTAGGTGTGATTGCCTGCGTGTCTGAGGTGCCCTGTGATGTGAGGGGTTAAACAGTTGCACAGTCCTTGGAATAGGGTATGGGGGGGAGTAACTGGGAGAACATTGGGGTGTATGTAATGTCCTGAGCAGACAGTCCCAAGGTGAGCTTAGAGATCGGCTGGTGTGGCTGGTTGGTCTTTGGCCGGGCTGTTGTCTTAAGTTGGGTCCTCGCTGGTGCTTGTTCCTGGTTCTGCCATCCTCTCATTCCCCATTCTCGGGATGAAGGGTGTTGTATGCGCCGGGTCCCAGGTTGACGTTGAGGTGAAGGCTCTCCGTCTCGTGGTGTCCGGTAGCTGTGCCAGTCCCAGGGCCGTCAGGAATGGTACAGTGTCTTCCATAGAGGTGAGCGTGTGTACGCCATCGTTTCTGGATACTGTCAGGGATCTGTTTGCTCCCCATCTATAGCTTATTTTAGCTGATTGAAGCTGGCTGGTCACTGGTTGAAATGTTTTTCGCCACAGGAGGGTAGTTTTACTGAGATCTTGGTAAAAAGTCAGGGAGGCTTCCTCGAACTGCAGGGGAGTTTTGCCCTTAAGTGCTGACATTATGAGTATTTTATCGTGTGTTGTGGCGTACCTTAGTATCACATCTCTTGGTGCCGTTGTCGATGTCCCCTTGGGCCCTGGTAGGCGGTAGATTTCTTCCAGATTCATTTTTTTGGCTATCGCAGGGGACAGGAGGGAAGTCAGCAACCGTCTGGCATAGTGAAGGAGCTCATCCGCTGTAATTGCAGTTGGGACACCCCTTATCTTTACATTGGTGCGGCGGTGGCGGTCTTCCATTGCTGTGATGTGTGAGGTGACAGCTCTTTGGTGAGACCATATTTGTTGGACCGAGGTCTGGAGTTTTTGTACCTGTGTCTGGACGTCTGCTATGTCCATCTCTGAGGTCTGTACCCGGTCTGCAATGGCCTTCATGTTATTTTTAATTGGAGCTAGTTCGGCAGCAAGTATTTTGTGAAAGTCCATCAATAGTACCTTTAGGTCTTGTCTGGTCGTTGGTGTGGTGTCAGTGGGAGCTTCTGATGGCTGTAGGTGAGTGTCCGCCGGCCCCTCTGCCACTGCTTGCTTGTTTGAGTTAGTGTGAGCTTCAGGCCTTGTACTAGTGGCCTGCCACGCGGACTCCGCAGGTGTGGATTGGAGCTGCATGGGCCTCTGGAACATCGTTCCAATGTCTCTGTGCTCCACTGCTGCCGTCTTTTGCGAACGGCGACCCATCGCTGGCGTGTGGGATGAGGCCTCCGGTGGTGCCTGGGGAGAATAGTCGTTCGCCCGTTGCCGGAGGAGTGCTTCCAGGCTTGGCAGGGACAACGTGGGGTAGGCCCCGGTTTTCCGTTTTCGTCCGGGCTGGGCCTTTGGTTGAAAAAAAAGCATCTATCGCCTCACGGGGTATTGGGGGACGTGACTGGCGTGTTTTGGGGTCCGTCTGGGTTTTTGGTTTTGTTTTTTTTAGGGGTTTTGTGCTGTCGTTTGGAGGAGCTTGCATGCGTGGCGTCCGTTCAGGCTGGTGGTTGAGCTCCGCCCCCCGATACCTGGTACTTCTAAGCGCCGTTTAGTCTTAACTCGGAATGTTGTTGACCATTCCCATGTTCATGTGTGTGAGATAATCTTCATCCTTGGTTCTATTTTAATTCCTGCCAAGCACCTACTGCTGCTTGGAATGTCACCTGCTCTCCTCGCACTAATTTTGATGTGGAATGCTTGCCCAATAAGCACCATATCTAGACGTTGCGTCATTTGCCCCAGTGCTGTTTGCGCCCAATGCTACATATGCAATTTGGACCAATAGAAACGTCGTTAGGCTATATAACCTCCATGCTTTTAAGTGCTTATTGCCCTGTTATAGTTCTAGTGTACCTGAGAGCGCATTATATTTGCTCTGTTTGGTATTGACTACAGCTTGTTTGACTATCCTAGTATTCAGTAATCCCGATTCCTGGCTTGTTTCTTATTTTGTGCCATTGTGTATTCCTGAACCTTGGCCTATTTTGTCTATTCTCAGTATGCTTGCAGACATTTTTCACTATACTTTCTGCCGGCCCGGCCACTCTAAGGTATGGTACGCACTTCTTCTCTGCCCTATTCTAGGTTTGCATGTTAGGGTTAAACCAGTCCTGAGCATCTCTAGATAAATTTTAAAAAAGCACAAGGCCAAGGGAGGGAAAAATGTCTGCAAAATCATGACTTGGCAAAATCCATAAGGACCAGAAATGGCAGAACATTAAATATTAATGGTTTTCTATGCCTTTTGTTTTTTTGAAATGGGTCGGATAAAATAAGTAAATAAAAATATGACTCAAATGTGCTGAAAAGTGTTCCATATCCCTCGCCATGCACCAACAAGTCCAGTTTCACAGGGTTAGGGTTAGTGTTAGGGGTATGGTTAGGGAATTGCTGAAGTCCCGAATTTCGGAAGTGCTGAACCGAAGTGCCGAAGTCCCAAATTCCATAAGTCCCAAATTTATTTCGGAAGTGCCGAACCAAAGTCCCAAATTTCGGAAGTGCCGAACCAGATTTTTTGCCCATGCACATCCCCAGTTTCCATTGATCTCCCAATATGAACCATACTAGAAGATGTAGATGGCCCTGCTGTAAGAAATCATGGCATGACCCTTCCACATTTTTCAAGAGTTGTGTGAAGAATTTTATCAGTCTTGGTATAATTATCACCATCTCCAGTATTGTTGGGAAGCATGGCCCTGTCATCCAAACTGATGTAATTAAAACCAAAATCAGTTTTTGGTCCTTCAATTGTGCCATAGTTTGTGAAATTATTGTAAATGGAGGAAATAAATGCATATTTTTTTCATTGTATCCAACCAGGGAGACAACATTATTATTATTATTATTATTATTATAATTATGATTATTATTATTTTATTATTTATATAGCGCCAGCAAATTCCAACATTCACTGCTAATGCTTTTGCTAAACCTTCTGTATCTGGCTTTCAATAGACAAATATTGGAAGTTAAGTTTTTAGTCTGGAAATTAATAGATTGATTTGAAAAAGATCCCCCCAAAGCATTTCTTACTTTAAGAAAACATTACTGTTCAAATACCAATCTATTAACTGACAAGTATGCCAGTCTGCGATTACATTGGATAAGCCTGGTAAGTATTTCTTACAGATATGTTTTAACCCAAACAAAATTTGCTGTGATCAATTCTGATAAACTGTTCCATTTGGGTCCTCCCAGGTGATTGGCATGACGCACTGTGGAAATGTTGTCCATTTTAAAAGGATACTGCGGTTAGTTTTGTTTTTTTTAGAAAACTCTTGAAAACCAAAAAAGCCCATTAAAGGACCACTATAGTGCTAGGAAAACATACTCGTTTTCCTGGCACTATAGTGCCCTGAGGGTGCCCCCACCCTCAGGTACCCCCTCCCGCCCGGCTCTGGAAGGGGGAAAGGGTTAAAAACTTACCTTTTTCCAGCGCTGGGCGGAGAGCTCTCCTCCTCCTCTCCTCCTCCGATCCTCCCCGCCGGCTGAATGCGCACGCGCGGCAAGAGCTGCGCGCGCATTCAGCCCGTCGCATAGGAAAGCATTTACAATGGACGCTTGCGTGCTCTCACTGTGAAAATCACAGTGAGAAGCACGCAAGCGCCTCTAGTGGCTGTCAATGAGACAGCCACTAGAGGATTAGGGGGAAGGCTTAACCCATTCATAATTATAGCAGTTTCTCTGAAACTGCTATAATTATGAAAAAATGGGTTAACCCTAGAAGGACCTGGCACCCAGACCACTTCATTAAGCTGAAGTGGTCTGGGTGCCTAGAGTAGTCCTTTAAGTGTTCCTGGCAATCGATATGAAAAATAATTTCCTTCTCGCACCATCTGCCATTTGTTAAAATATCTACATATCTGGTTCCCAAGCAAATTTTGCTTGCACCCAATTCTATTGTAATATTGTGGTCCACATCAAAAATGGCATTCCTATAGTGCTCATTAATGTAGGGGTCAATAAATTGCTTGAATTGAAGCTGGAAGTAGACCTATCTTTCTGGGCAAATGTCTCAATGTCATAAATACCTTGTTCAGTGTGTGGTGAATTTCTTTATCGAATATAACTTAGTTGGAGAAAGACTTAAAGTCTGTTCCACTGAATTGACAGGAAACCCTAGAAACTGTTAAGGTGATTCAAGTACTGTTTTTTTCCCAGTTTATAAGGAAACACATATGTGTCAACCTTTCCAATGTTCAATAAATCTGGAGTTCCAATAAATAGATTTCTTGTAAGATTATCAAAATGTCCAAATATATTATCATGCTAGCACCTTTGCTTCTTAGGTAAGCTGAACCCAGTTTCATTAACTTTGTGAAGAACCATGGGGCTTTTTTATCTCAACTAGGAATAGATTGCACACAAATTCAACTGGTATCGGCAAGGCAAACGTTTTGAATTGAATTTTTTTATTTTTTATAATTCTTTATTTTTGCAATACACATGCTAAACATTATGAGTATTCGTCATTATAAGGCATTATAAACAGAAAGGCAAATTAAGGTGTTATATGACAGAGTACATGCATTAATTTTTATATAATAACAAGCAATCTGTGCCCTATGCAACTCGAAGGGGAGAATGATAATTTTAAGTCGCTGTGTTTCGGTGAGTGTAATATGCAAGAGGTGTCAAGGTATGAGAATAGCGTAATATCGCATAATATAGCATAAACCAACAGGTGAAGTCGTATGCAAACTGTATATTTGTGGTGAAGGCAACAATTAACCAGCTATGCCTTTGTTGGTTGAATTGAATTTGAAATTAATTCTACTTGAAAGCCGTGACATATTGTGATTAAGACTTACCATAGGATCATCTGGCATACGGATGTCCACTGAATCCAAATCCACTCCAACTGTAACGGATCACCTGGCACCCCGACTGGGCACCTCCGTTGAAGGATGCTCCTAGCGCTTCCTGAGGACTCTAAGCACTCTGGCAGACACCACAATCACCGAACCGGAGAAGCATATGAGTTCTTTTAAGCATATGAATGTTGTATACAGCCGAATAGGAAAAACCATGCAAATAGATTTACACTCCTAGCAGTCAAACTGGAACAGCATACAATAAATCTTCCCCCAATAATGAGACGAGACTTCACTTTGAGGGTTAAGCAGGAACTCCACTGTAATGGCCACATACTGGCTTTTATGCAAGTCCCCATGCAAGGGGACATCCCACAGGGTGGGACACAGTACAACCAATCATTTACAGGAGAACCATAAAACACACCCAGCACCAACATACAATCCCTCCCCTCTGCCTGTGATATAATTACTGAACACAATTAATGTAATTTATCACAGGCAGGAGAAATACACTTTTTATACATACACTGTAACTTTAAAAATATGCATCATATTCACATAAAACATACATATTCAGAATCAGCATACTTTAAATATAAACATAACCAAAATTCAGCCAATTCTATCCAGGGGTTAAAAGTTAAGGGAAAGTCCTATTTTTCTGCCCAAAACCAGTTCCACAGAGTCTTCTATCCTGGAGATCATTGGGAAGTAATCCAATTATCTCCAAGGACAGAGGCAAAACTCCATTAGCCACATGGCAGACAAAGGACAATAAAAGACATAAAAATACATACTGTTACATTTATCACATAGAACATACACATTCTACCTATCCCAAGATAGCTTAGATCTGAGCGCACATTATTACCGGATGGTGCTCAGATCACATACATACAGTTCAATCGCCATGGAGCCAAAGTCTTTCATACAGTCTTTCAGTATACGGCTGGGCTCCATGGCATAGCTATCTGGGGTAGCATGGCTTTAACAGTCAGCAGAAAGGCACAAATAAACATTTCTGCAGGTAAAATAAAAGTTTAAAATGCAGGACCATAGTCTAAAGGGAGCAGGCGAGCAATCAGGCCACTCCAGTAGACAGTGGCGAGGTTGGTTCCGCCACACCAACCATGCCCTCATTGTGAGAAGAAGGCATCATATGACTCCTGGTCCTGAAATTGTTTTTTTTTTTTAATGGGAAAAGGAGCCTTGTTTCTAATTAAATTAACTTTGGGGGGAAAAACAGTGGGCACAGCCCATATACCTGCCGGCCCTGGGGAAAACCTTATTGGGAAATAAATTCTCCAGCGCTGTGAAGACTCCCACAAATGTTTTAAGTTATTTTATATGATCATCACCATCTGCCACGCATTTTTCATCACATCAGTGATCATTAAATCCAAATGAGTGATCAGTGATGTAAGAAGCACCCTTCATTGAAGCCATTGTCTACTGCATATACATATAGATTTTCATTTTATTTTTCTTATGACTTTTCTTCTTGGAGTTTTTTGTATTGATTTGCACTTGTTTTGTTAGCTTATGTTTTTCTCT